TGGGGGGTGCGGCGGCAGCAGCCTGGTGGCGGGAGGCTGAGCCTGGCCGGGGCACTCCGGCCACTTGCCCCAGCCTCGCACTCCACCATGGTTGGCCCCGCCACCTCAGCTGCAGCCAGGGAGTGAGTGCAATCGGAGGAGGCTTTGGACTGCCTGGTAAGGTAAGGTGCTGCCTTTGGCTTTTTAAAAACTGTTCTGGATGGGTTTTGCAGGCTGGGTTTGGGCTGGGGGGGTGATGTTTCAGTGCTGTGTTGCTTTGTTTTTTGGTTGTTGTTTTTGCAGCCCCAGCGTGGGGCTTGCTCCGATGTTTATTTTTGGGTTTTGGGGGTTTTTTAAGCCTCAGTGCCTTCAGGGCTTGCTCTGTTTATTTTGGGGTGTTGTTTTTTTGTAACCCCAGCACGTTCCTATGGGGCTTGCAGTGTTTTATTTTTATTTTATTGGGGGGGGTATTTGGGGGGGCTGGAACGAATTAATCACATTCCCATGCATTCCTATAGGAAATGGTGCTTCAATTTACGACCATTTTGAGTTACGTCCATCTTCTGGAATGGATTATGGTCGTAAATCAAATCACCGCTGTATTTTTTGTAACCCCAGCACGTTCCTATGGGGCTTGCAGTGTTTTATTTTTATTTTATTGGGGGGGGTATTTGGGGGGGCTGGAACGAATTAATCACATTCCCATGCATTCCTATAGGAAATGGTGCTTCAATTTACGACCATTTTGAGTTACGTCCATCTTCTGGAATGGATTATGGTCGTAAATCAAATCACCGCTGTATGTGTTAAATATCGGCACAGTATGTATGCTGTTCCTAATATTGCCGTTTTTTGTAGCTCTGATGGTGCGATTTCTGAGATCTGCAACTGCTTATAGCATCAAATTTCTTGATACTGTTCCCAGAGCCCCGATGACTATGGGGAACACTGAAGTGTGTTTCAACTCTGGCATTCCCTGGAATTGCAATGTCAGTGATCTGGACATTTCTCCGTCCAATTACTACTATGTCTAGCATGTTATGTTCAAGGTGTCTATCAGTCTGGATCCAGAAATCCCACAAGATCTTGACTTCCTGATTTTCTGACACCTTCGCTACTTGATTGATGTTACCATGGGTTTTTGGAGGCTGGCAAGTTATATTTTTTGCATAATGACTGGGATGGTCTGATTTGTATTATTTTCCATTGACTGCATGATGCACAAGTGAATGAGAGTCAGCGCTGAGTTTTTCTCTGCCAAAACATAGTTTTTTTCTCTGTTCCTGGGGTTTCTAGTCTTTTGGAATCAAGTGCATTCACATTGGTTTAGGTGGTGCAGCTGCTGGAGCTGATGTGCAGAATTTTAACCCTTGTATTTAAAGCTGTTCCAGTTGTGAGAGGCAGGGAAACTGGCTGCTGTTTGAATCCTCTCTTTCCCACACCTGGTGACTGAGTCTGCTTTCCTCTTCCCTTCCTGTTCCATTCCACTATTAAAATTCTCTCCTGGTCCAAGTATTTACACTGTTGAAATGGAGAAAGCAGGGAAGTGGGGACAAATGTGGATTGCAGTGTGGCTGGATTGATTGTTTTAGTCAGTTCTGGTGTTGAGAGAAAAATTCTGGGCTCAGAAGTCTGTTGAAGTGTCTATCTTTTGCTCAGGGACCCATTTGCTCAAGGCTCCAGTAAAAAATTATAGTAGGCCATCATCTTAAAAGCCCAAAGTCAGCCTGAAAGCAGAATACTTGATTGAAAGGGAGAAGAGATGGGGGGCGGGGTTCTTGCTGAAACAGAGAACTGAAACTTTCCTTCTGTTACCGTTTCTCTGCTTAAGAATGAAGGATTTTTATTATCAGATCAAACATGAAAAATTTATGGTGGCAGAGTAGAAAATATGGCTTTTGATGGTAAAAATCAGAATTAGTGTTTCCCAGTTGTCGCTTTGTCAAAAACAGAGGTACTTTCATAACAAAAATAGTCATGTACAGTCACACAAGATGTACTGCATGCTACGGATCAGTCACGCAGATCTACATAGCTCCCTAGTGTGATTGTTGGTGTAGCTGCTCATTCAAGGGTTGTGTTTCTGCACAAATTGCACTGCTGGTATATTGTTTTCTACAAGCCTCAAAGTATAGCTGGCCAAATTATTTTCTCAATACAATTTCAATTCATCTTCCAGATTTTTGCTTAATTTTTATTCCAGAGTGAAGGTCTATTTCATGCCTAACGTGACTCGATTCTCATTCCTTAAAGACAGGTTTGCAACCTTCCTCCAATGCCCACCTTGCCTGGAACAAGAGAAAGTGATGCAAGTGTAGCCCTAATAGAATCCTGATTTTCCTCAACAAGATTTCTTCCCATAGATTCTACAGAGAGGTTTCAAAATCCCCAAGCTTGTGCTTGCGTGAAGTTGAATGTCACTCCTAACATGTAGCTTCCACATTAGGGTGGTGACAGAAAGGGGTGGGAAAGATACCGTTGCTTCCCCTGTATTAAATCTACAATAGGTGCCCTCTTGGCAGGTAGTAGCAGAGCTCCACATTCTCTTCTGATGTACAGTCATATTAACTTTTATTTTTTACAGATTCGGAAGAAAGTGATAAGCACTTCCTGTCCAAGCTTATCCTACAACATATAAGGCAGCAGCAGCACCAGGAGTATGCAGTGTATGAAAGGGAGCAAAACTGCATCCAGACACAGAACATTCTGCCTGATGAGAACGAGCTCTTGATCAGTGGTTCCGATCAGCCCCTGCCTTTGCAGAGTGGTGCCTATTGAAATCCCTGGGTCACTTCCACTCGGGGGAAAGACCAGCTAAGAGCTGAACCTCCGTATCGCTGGCATGGTAAAAAGATCTTAAAATGCATTTCTTCTTCTGGAAAACTAGTTCTTTTTGCATAAACCTTTGAAGGGAAAGATAAGGAACGTGTCTACTTAATTAAATTCTCTAAGGACTGTGGTGTTTTAAAACTGAAAACTACTTTTATTTTTGGGTCCGATAAGCTGATGGATTTTTCGTACTGCTCTGCTCTTTTTGAAAAGCTTATAACAACAATAATTACTCTTAATTAGACCTCTCTATGTCAGCGGGAAGGGATAAATCTGCCAAATCCCCCCCCCCTGGACAAGAGGAAAAAAACCCGTACCTTCAGATCGGAGTTTGGAAAGATTGACGAGGGTAACAATTGAAAAGGATAAACAAGAAACAATGAAAGAGCTTACAAGTAAAAGATATGGCCTGTAAAATGTCTGAAGGCTACGATCAAACTGAGAGATGAGCCAAGTCCATTGAAAAGAATATTAATAAACTTCAAGATCAAATTTCAGGAGTTTCACAAGAGCTCAAAGTTGTCAAAAGCAAAATTAAAGAGCTTGGAATTAGAGTTGAATCAGATCAAGAAAAAAATATCTAATTTGGACTAAAAAATCAATGAAACTACTGAAAGGCTGATCTACATAGAGGATAACCTCAGAAGGTCTAATATTAAAATAATGAATTTTCAACTGCAACACGGACAATACCTTTAAAAAGAGATTAAAGCTTGGATTAACTCCATAATAGGCACACAACATCTGGTTAAACAAGACATAGAAAGAGCACATTCCCTGGGTAACCCAAAAAACTCCAGAAGTAGACCAGTGGTTCTGAAGTTTTTCAACTACACAAAGAACAATTTATGAGAATAATTAAACAAAAACAAGGCCAGCTAGTCTATTGGGACAATACGATACAGATCTTCCAGGATTTATGCAATGAATCTTTGAATTGGAGATCTATGAATCCTGTCACAGCAGTTGAAACACAACTTCAGATATCAATGGGGTTATCCTATTTTTTTGAAAATTTGGAAATACAAGGTTCTGTTCAAAATCTACTCTTGTGATGAAGGTAAAGAATTGCTGAAGGCCTGGAAACTCTGGCAACAAGAAGAGGAAAGTCAGGAGTCAACTCCAACTACAAGCAAAGAAATAGAAGGGTGAACCAGAAATGACCAGATTTCTGGAAGAAGACGGACCAGCATTTTTCCCCCTATTAAACATTAAATTTCTTTTTTTTAATATATTATTTCTTCTTTTCTTTCCCCCCTTTTCCTTATTCATCTATACTGACTACTTTTTAATTTTTGATCTCTTCTTTTTTCTGTTTCTATATATATCTTACTGGTATAATCACATTAAATATACTAATTTTAGATAGTAAACGCAATAACAAAATTAAAATTACTAAAAACTGAGTTTTAAATCTCACTTTTTAAAAATTGATTTATAATTAAGGGGAAAGGAGTGGAGAAGGGTTTTTTTATTTTATTAAACATTAAGTAAAAATGAAAAAGCCAAATAAAAAGATCAGAGGCAAGGTTCTGGTTGTAGTTCCGCCAGACGGCAGTGGCGTCCCTGCCCCACCTTTTGCCCACATCAGTGGTTATGGCGTGGGACTATGGTGGAGTGGGTGAAAAATTATATGTTCACAAGGTTGGCAGTGGCCAATTATTGGGTGTTTCTATGTTAATTTTAAGTTTTAGTTTATTTTTGTTAGTTTGGTCTTGGCTCCTTGTCTGATATTATCTTGCGTATGTGAGGGGGAGTATGTTGGTTGTAAAATACTGCTCAGTTCTGAGACACTGAGTGTATCCTGCAGCACAAACTCCTCTTCTCTAAGCTTGTTGTCAGCAGAGAAGCTCTCACATAAGTAGGAAATTCTGAAAGGATTTACCTTTCATCACCAGCTATAACTCTAAATTTCTCTGAGCTCTGTCTCAACACCGCCAAACGCTAGCACCACCCAACTGGAAGTCCTTCCTTACCATTTGTGTGTCCTTGGGCAAGCTCCATATATATTATATAAATTATATAATTCAGTTATATAAATTATATAACTGAGAATTAAAAAAGCAAATTATTGGAAGATGATGAAGGAATATTAGAAGAGATTAAAGAACAAGAAATTGCTTAAGTTATTAATATTTGTACTCCTATTTTAGCAAATATATTAAATAGATTTATAGCAAATTATATTAAGGAAGACCAGTGTGTTTTTATTAAGGGAAGACAAATGGATAACTTAACTAGATGAGTTTTGAATATTATATATGAGTTTGAAAAGGAAAAAATAAAAGCAACCATTTTATCATTGGACATATTTAAGGTTTTTGACTGTGTTAAATGGCCAACATTAAAACTTCTTATACGGGGTTGGAGATTTGGCAAAAAATTTAGAGGGGTTATAGATCAATTGTACTCAGATAATACTTCAGAAGTAATAGTTAATGATGGTTTAATAGAACTGATTCCTCTAGCCTGAGGTACAAGACAAGGCTGTCCACTTTCACCAATATTGTTTTATATGGTTATAGAATTGCTAGCTAATGCAATAAGAAATGATGGATTAATTAAAGGATTAGGAAAAAAAATGATACAATTAAGATTAATTTATTTGCTGATGATTCATTATTGACTATTAAAAACCCATTAGAGAGTATGGACAATATTAAAAAGCGATTAATTATTAATTGGCAAAAAAAACACAAATAGTGATGTTTAACCATAATATACAGGAACAAAAATGTTTATGAATAAATTTAGTTTCCAAATGTGTAATCATATTAAATATTTAGGTATAAATATAGTTAGAATGACTCAAAAATTAAAGGAGAAAATTTTAAATAAACTGAAAAGGAATATTAAAGATAAACTGCAAGAGTATTCTAGATTGAAATTACCATGGTTTGGGAGAATCGTTATGATTACAATGAAAATATTACCAGGATGCTCCCAATAAAGTTAGAAAAAGATTTCTAGTATTGGCAGGGAGTAGTTAATGGATTTTGTAATCAAGGTAAGAAATCTAGAATAAATAAAAGATATTGGTATAAGAACCAAAAAAAGGAGGTTTAGGTATACCTAATGTAAAAAACTATTATATAGCAAATCAATTAAGATTTATTGGGGAGATTATATATAATAAAGAGAAATTAACTTGGTAGGATATGGAATCATAAGAAATAAATGGGAATGTAGAAACATACTTGTTTAATGTAGTAAAAAGAAATACAATAAATCAGATGAAAAAACCCTTTTTAAGAAATATGTTAAATATATGGGATAGCTATAGAGAGAAGTTATGTCCCTCAATTTCACCATTAAAATTAGTGACTGAAATAGAAAGTTTTCCTATGAACCTAAAGGGTTTAGTAGGATTGTTTAAGGAAAAAAGTGTTGCAAGGTTGAAGTACTGGATGTGTAAAATGAGATTGATGGAATTGATTATGGTTAAACTTCAAACTAATAAACTATCATGGTATAATTACCATATTTTTCACTCTATAAGACGTACCCCCCCAAAAAAAGTAGGGGGGAAAGTGTCTGCGTCTTATGAAGCGAATACTGTAAAACAGCGCTCCCCAGGGCCCAGCAGGGGGGAGCCTTGGAAGAGTCCGAGAGTGCCTTCCAGAACCCTTCGGAGGCTTCCCCCACCCACCTCCTGTGGAGCCAGCGGGGGCGAAATCACGACCTTCCAGGACCCTTCTGAGGCTGGATAGTTTTAAGATTGCATAATGTATCAGAACTAGACATACTTTGAAAGGGCTCTGCTCGCCTACCACAGGTTACCTTGAACCATGAGTGCTATGTGAGCAAACATATGCAAAGGCAGCTCCCCAGATGCAGGCATTCAGTCTCCCCTCAAACAGTCTGAATGGCATCTCTCTGGTCAACTTTGCTTTTAAAATAAAGAAACTTCATCTTGTCTGGCTTGAACTTCAGTTTATTCATCTGCATCCAGCCTAGTACAAATTCCCAGCATCCATTCACCTGATTTAGGTAAACATTATTGCAGATAATTAATTTCTCTTAGGAATGTCTGGAGCTGGATGACCACCACATGTCTCAGCACCTTGCCCAGGCAGGGGAGACTATTGAGCAGTCATTAAAAAAAAACACCTTGAAGTTTGGAGGGAGAATCCAGAGAATATCTCACAGCTGCCAAGAAGAGCCAAGAAGCTACAAAGAGGCCGGAATCAATCCTCTTCCTCAAGTTCAAGGTAATGTTGACCATCTAATGGATTAAGCCAGTCACACCTCTGGAAAAGATGTTCTTAGCTGTGACAGACCCAGGTTGACCCCACTGATGGCAGACATCATCTTTTGAAGCACACAGTCAAGTAATACAACTATCTGCATTACAAATAACACTGGGATCTATGTTATAATGCAGTTCACAGATAAGTGATGTTATCTGTGAAATGCATTATACATTAGTTTCAACAGGTTAACCATAGGCTCTAGAAATCCATGTTGTGGGAGTAGATGATGAAAATCCCCAGCTGCTGGATGGGTAATATGGTAGCAGAGGAGGGTGTTTTTCTTCATGGCTATCACTGCTGCAGAGTAGGGCCTAAACATATGTTCCCTGCGTTTTCTTGTATGTTAGACATTGTCCTTGTTGTCTCATCAGCCTTTCTCCCAAATAAACCAGGTTTCAAATTAATACAAAGGAGCACCTAAGAGTGATCATGCCTCCGTTAGTTCTACATACTGGAGACCAACCATACAAGAGCAGCAAAAGAATGTCCTCATGGGCCACCACATGCCTCTCCAAAAGAGTAAGCTCTCCAAAAGCTTTTTCACAGGGAAGTGACCTCTATGATATTTGGCACCCTACATTCACACCGAATGTTCAGGTCAGTGGCACTGTTAGCCTTCATGGGCAGAGGAGACTGCATGTTGCCATTTCTCTGGGAATCCAGTTTCTTCCAGCCTATTAAGCAGACCCCATAGTCCATGTCCTGTGGCAGGGGCTCGTGGCACAGAGTAGTCTGGGCAGCTCGTAGCTGTAGACCATGATGCACCACCACGATGATGAGAATAGCCAAGAAAACAAAAATGGTCACAATGATGGAAATCATGGCTAGGCCATCTCCTTTTCTTGTCATGACAGAGCTTGGGGTGATGCCAACAAGATCCTGGACATCGTATTGCCTGAAGTGACTAGTTGTAACAGAGAAATTCATTGCTGAGCTTTAGCAACAAGGACTATCCACCTGTGACAAATAGAAACAGTTTTTATATTTGTGTGATACCATAAGGGCAGTATTAATACTTTGCTTCTGCTGACTGTAACTGTCAGATGGGTTGCAAGCCCTTCTTTCCTGCTAAAACATCTGCTTCATAACAGATCAATAGGAATTACATACATACAGCCGATGCAAGCTGTTCATTCATCTAAATTTTTGCAGTCAAATCAGCACATAGTTGTCAGGGTAAAACAAATACTTTGATATATACTGACTTTTTTTTTTAAATTAAAAACTCCACCTCCTTGTCCTGCACCCCCCACAGCTTTCTCACCAAAAACAGGATACCAAGGGGCCCTCAGGAATTTTGGAGGTGGGGAATTGCTAATTTTTAATTTCTGGAAAACTGCCAAGGCTAATGATGTCAACAGACTTACATGGTGTAAGTTACGCAACTCAATTTCAGCCAATAAATCCAAATGTAGAAGTTTGGATTTACATTAGTTCCAGTAATTAATAAAATATGCCCTCCCCAAGGTTTTGTTCTGAATGTATCTTTCCTTCCCATTATGATTTATTACTAGTGATTTTATTCATAAGAATAAGTAGTCTTTACAGTATGTTCTTTGTCCATTGATGAGGTGAAAGAATATAAACTATTTTCCAGGCTTTTGCCAACTTAATTAACATAGAAGTTGTTTTTATGATATACTCTGTTGCTGCCTACCCTTTAATGCATCCAAAATTGTTTTCACAGTAGTTGTATAAAATATTCAGTAATTCTAAATGTCAGGTAACATTCAGTTCCTGCAATATAAATACCATTTTATTTCAGAAACTTCACCAGCATCAGCAAACAAGGGGTCAGGATACTGGGGTCTTAATTTGAAGTTTACTAGGCATTGTATAAGGAAACATTTGTATCTTCCTTGTCTCTCCATGACAATGCGTTATCCTAAAATTATTTTAATTAATAACAGTGCAATCAAACAAT